AGGCAGGGCATTTTCACACGTGTAACACACTTTCACGATCAATAACACATAATATTTCAATGAACCAATGATGCACAATATTGACATTTAACCCCATTAATCAACCAATCCGATAGAAATAAAATCCATTCATAAACTATACTTTATAAAATTTATAAATAAACTAGTTGGAAATCCTAAAGTAATCACATCGACATCTACCGTCTTGTCTAAATCGGTTCTCAAAGATTCTCAAATCTTTCGTTCACGAATACGCTGAAAACTAGTCCTAGAGTGACATAGTTCAACCGAAGCCTACACTCTTAAGTTTCAACATTCTAGATCGACCTAAAAGAATTGTTAAGATCTCTAGGGATCTAGTTCCCGACCAACTCAATGGAACTGAATAGAAAGAGAGATTTTGGACTATTTAACGAAATCCAACTCTAGAATGCTTATGGTCCCCCAATGAGGATTAACCAAGCAGGATCATAGGTATGCCTCCAATAATGTGGTCCCCCATTGCTGATAAACCAAGCAAAATCATGCCTACAATGCGTATGGTTCCTCAATGCGAATTGACCAAGCAAGACCATATACATGCATCAAATGGTGGGGTCCCCCAATGCGGACTAACCAAGAAGAGTCACTCCTATAATGTGTATGGTCCTCCAATGTAGATTAACCAAGCAGAACCATAGGCATGCGTCAAATGGTGTGGTCCCCAATGTGGATTAACCAAGCAGGACCATCCATGTACCACGTTGCTACATGATCTCGCTATAGTTCGAAAGATACCATGCTACATCTTATTGGCGTGCCACAGGTACTGTTCAAGCAATTGGGGTTTCTGCCATCTTTAACAAGGAAAATTGCAGCTTCTGGGACATGAGAAAGGAGGAAAGAAAAAAGTTGGACTCTATAATGTGTATTTGCTTAATGGTAATCTGTGGTGCAACTAGGCCTGGCAAACGGGTCGTGTCAGTCGTGTTCGTGTCGTTTTCGTGTAACACCTGTTATCTTAACGGGTCGTGTCGTGTCACACCCGTTATCTTAACGGGTCCTTAACAGGTCGTGTCACTTTACCCAACGGGTAAAGTGACCCGACCCGTTATGACCCGTTAAGAAAAATATATTTTTTTTCTTAAATTTGCACATACCACACATTGCCACATAAATATTACTTCAAAACATTAAAATACATTTGTTGTTTAAGTACTACATCTACACTCGAAAATAAGAGCCTAATAAAAAAATAATACATACACTACTAATCTATTACAAATTTTAAATGTGCAAGGATATGCAAAATGAAACAGTTTTTGTTTTCAAGGTTGTGAAATCTTTCTCAAAAGTTTAAACCTCAATTTACAAAATCCTCGATTTACATTGATCATCATGAAATTGCATTGGAACTTTGGCTTGATCTATTGCCTTCAAGAGTTATGTTGATGATGTTTTCAGTAAGGTTTTCCACGTCATAACTCTCTTCTGCATAAACTAAGCATAGAAAAACTAAACATTAAAAATCATTCAAATTATGAGAAGTTTACCAAAATAATTATGAAAAAAAAATAAAACAATAGTACTATACCATACTTTTATTAAGTATAAACATAAGATTTTGTGGTATCCACTAGTGTAAATATTTTAAATTGAAGATCGAATTCAATCATTGTATTCATATAAGGTCAAGGAGTGTAGTTGTAAAAAATCATCAAAATCGGAGTTAAATTAACCGTTAAATCGTGATTTTTCGTTTATAACCGTCGAAAAGTTTTGTCCCGTTACTTGCTCTCTGAATGTTTGTTTTTTGCAATTTTTGGCGTATGCAATCTCGAAATATATACAAACATGTTTGACGGTTGGATCATTGAAACTAGTTTCGTAGAATGAGTATCCCATCAAAACAATAGATTCACTAATATTTAAGAGTTTATTCATACTTTTATTAAGTATAACATAAGCTTTTGTGGTATCCACTAGTGTAAATATTTTAAATTGAAGATCGAATTCAATCATTGTATTCATATAGGGTCAAGGAGTGTAGTTGTAAAAAATCATCAAAATCGGAGTTAAATTGACCGTTAAATCATGATTTTTCGTTTATAACCGTCGAAAACTTTTGTCCCGTTACTTGATCTCTGAATGTTTGTTTTTTGTAATTTTTGACGTATGCGATCTCGAAGTATATACAAACATGTTTGATGGTTAGATCTTTGAAACTAGTTTCGTAGAATGAGTATCCCATCAAAACAATAGATTCACTAATACTTAATAGTTTATTCATACTTTTATTAAGTATAATATAAGATTTTGTGGTATCCACTAGTGTAAATATTTTAAATTGAAGATCCAATTCAATCATTGTATTCATATAAGGTCAAGGAGTGTAGCTGCAAAAAATCATCAAAATTAGAGTTAAAATGACCGTTAAATCGTGATTTTTCTTTTTATAACCGTCGAAAAGTTTTGTCCCGTTAATTGATCTCTGAATGTTTGTTTTTTGTAATTTTTGACGTATGCGATCTCGAAGTATACACAAACATGTTTGACGGTTGGATCTTTGAAACTAGTTTCGTAGAATGAGTATCCCATCAAAACAATAGATTCACTAATACTTAATAGTTTATTCATACTTTTATTAAGTATAACATAAGATTTTGTGGTATCCACTAGTGCAAATATTTTAAATTGAAGATCGAATTCAATCATTGTATTCATATAAGGTCAAGGAGTTTAGCTGCAAAAAATCATCAAAATCAGAGTTAAAATGACCGTTAAATCATGATTTTTCTTTTTATAACCGTCGAAAAGTTTTGTCCCGTTAATTGATCTCTGAATGTTTGTTTTTTGTAATTTTTGACGTATGCGATCTCGAAAATATATACAAACATGTTTGACGGTTGGATCTTTGAAACTAGTTTCGTAGAATGAGTATCCCATCAAAACAATAGATTCTCTAATACTTAATAGTTTATTCATACTTTTATTAAGCATAACATAAGATTTTGTGGTATCCACTAGTGTAAATATTTTAAATTGAAGATCGAATTCATTACTTGTATTCATATAGGGTCAAGGAGTGTAGTTGTCAAAAATCATCAAAATCGGAGTTAAAATAACCGTTAAATCGTGATTTTTCGTTTATAACCGTCGAAAACTTTTGTCCCGTTACTTGATCTCTAAATGTTTTTTTTTGCAATTTTTGGCGTATGCGATCTCGAAGTATATATACAAACATGTTTGACGGTTGGATCATTGAAACTAGTTTTGTAGAATGAGTATCCCATCAAAACAATAGATTCACTAATACTTAAGAGTTTATTCATACTTTTATTAAGTATAACATAAGATTTTGTGGTATCCACTAGTGTAAATATTTTAAATTGAAGATCGAATTCAATCATTGTATTCATATAGGGTCAAGGAGTGTGGTTGTAAAAAATCATCAAAATCGGAGTTAAAATGACCGTTAAATCGTGATTTTTCGTTTATAACCGTCGAAAAGTTTTGTCCCGTTACTTGGTCTCTGAATGTTTGTTTTTTGCAATTTTTGACGTATGCGATCTTGAAGTATATACAAACATGTTTGACGGTTGGATCGTTGAAATTAGTTTCGTATAATTCGTATCCCATGAAGTTCAATGGTGTGTGTGTGTATATGTATTTATTTATTAAGTAGATTTAAATCTATTTATTTTGTATGTATAATTATTATAGTTTTTAGGGGTATAAAATTTAATATATATATATATATATAATTATTATAGTTAATATTTTGGGTATAATTATTATAGTTAATTTAATATATATATATAATTATTATAGTTTTTAGGGGTATAAAATTGTTAAATTAATATATATATATATATATAATTATTATAGTATTTTTTTAGGGTTATAAATTATTAAATTAATATTCCACTTATCGTGTATCGTGTTACCCACGTGTATACCCGAACAAACCCGTTATCTTAACAGGTGCTTATCGGGTTACCCGATAACGACCCGTTTCGTTATCGTGTCGACCCGAACACCTGTTAATTTCGTGTCGTGTCGTGTCGGGTTATCGGGTCGTGTCAGGAATTGCCAGGCCTAGGTGCAACTATAAATAATAGTGGTACCTTGTGGTGCAATTATAAAATTACAGCAGAAGTATAGACTTGCAATTACCTAGTAGAATTTAAAATGTTTACCTATTAATCGTCTACCATTAAGTTGTTAAACTCCAATTCCACCAAACCGAACTCCACTATTCCCTTTGGTATCAAATGAAAGCTGCATATGAAATCAACGTCGTGTAGCATTATAACTTTTAACCATATTGATGATGTTGAAGTGAATAACTAAAATGAAGAGTAAACATAGGCATACGATAGATTTGGAAGTATCAATATTAAGAACAGTGTTTTCTGTTGGCTTTTAGTATACAGTAATATGCTAAATTGTCCGACCAACTCATAGAAGAGTGAGATTCTAGTATTGGAGTTTATGAGTGGTCGTACACATCTACCTGATTCAACTAGCGGACACAAAAATTTCTTAAATGACAGGGTTGTGTTTCTCAATTTTACGTTATAGTATCAATAAGAATCCACTAAGTTTTTAACATGCGGCTAGATTGTACCACATATTTGTTTGGGGTTTAACCTTAATCTTACTCAAGGTTCTAAAAGACATTAGGCGCTAGTAGGGTGGTGGGTTAGGGCCTAGCGCCTAGACGGTTATGCGGGGTCTAGACGGGTGCCTAAGCAGACTAGGCGGATGTAAGTAAATCTATTATATTTTGTGTAAATAAGTGTCTGTTTATACTTAAAAATTCAATAAGTGCTTATGTACTTAAAAAAATAAAAAATAAAAAAATTTATTTTGAATAAATAATTATAAATATGGATATATGTGTAAATTTTAAGGGCATTATATGTTAGTTTCATAATGTTTTTCAAACCCATTCAACAAGTGGGATGTTAGGTGGCACGTTGGTATTGGGCAACAATTAAAAATAGGTTTGTCACGTGGGATTGGGAGAGGAAGTTTCCCACTGCATCGTCTTCTTCCTCGAAAAAAGCTGTGCTCCTCATTCTCCATATTAAAAACAGAGGCCCTGCGTCTTTCCTTTCTCAACCATGCTCAGACCTACTGAGCCTCTAGCGCCTGCCTAGGCGCCCTAGTTGCCACCTAGCACCCATAGGCACCCGCCCAAGCTCTTCAGGCACCTGCCTATTATCTTCTCTGATTTTCCTCCCGATTTGGACTGAATCAGGGCAGATGACCACCGTGTAGCGCCTAGGCGCCGCCTAGGCCGATTTTAACTTTTAAGAACATTGATCTTACTCTCTAAACCGGTCAAATTTAACAAAAAATAAAATGAAGAAAATTGAATTGAAAAATTGCAACTACAACTATTAGAGGATCTTTGATTGCAAAAAACACAGAAAAAAACAAGTCAAGGTGTTCCCATCTGATCATCGCTATTCTAGCCGGCCATTAGTGGCATTTTCTGGTTATTTTTTTCCTTAATTATACGTTGACTATGCTTTTCACCTTGCATATTGGCCGGACATGCAAATATTAAAACACAAATAGCCATCATTCATTGCTAGCTCTCTCATCAGCAATCAACTAATTAATTAACTAATCCCATCTCAACCAAATCAATTCTTCCTCTCCTTTTCTTAAACCACCTAACAGAATTAAATTTACAATTTCCGATATCAGAAAACCATGGTTTACCTCTCCCTTCTAATCTTGGTTTCCCTAAGTTCAAGCTATGCTCAGCAGTTCTATGACCAATCTGATTGCGGTGTTGAGGCTAGCAATTCAGGCTCAAGATACATTTGCAATATGTTCCAAAATTCTTGCCAAACATTCTTGGTCTACAGAGCCAACCCGAATTTTCAAACTGTTTCGAATGTCTCAGACTTGTTTCGAATGGATTCTGATCAACTGCTTGGACTCAACAATCTCACATCTCCTTCTGAGGAACTGAAAGCAGGTAGGGAAGTTATTATTCCCATTAAATGTTCTTGCTCAGGTCAATATTTTCAGGCAAGTTTCAGCTACACGGTTTTGCAAAACACGTCATACTCCGAGGTTGCTTGTGGGGTTTTCGAAGGCTTGCTCAAGTCGTTTACACTCAAGGAGGAAAATATGTCCCAAGAAAACAAGCTTGTGGTTGGCACTGAGCTTCTTGTGCCTCTAAGATGTGCTTGTCCTGATAAGTTAGCTAGCAGTAGTGGAGTGAAGTACCTTGTGACCTACCCTCTCATAGAAGGCGACAGGCCAGTCATCTTAAGCCAGAAGTTTGGCATCTCTCCTGAAGATTTTTTATCAGTGAATCATTTAGCAAATGACGAAACTGTGTTTCCGAATACGACTGTTTTAGTTCCCTTGAGAGCAGCTCCGGAGTTAAACTTCAACATCCAATATTCTCCCCCTCCAGCTCCTACTCTTCTTCCCACAATTGCTGTGGAAAAATCTAATAGAAATGCGAAACTGATCAAGAAATTGTATGTAGCCGGGTCTGTTGTTGGGTTTTCTCTGCTACTGGCAGCTTTAATTGCATTTGTAATTTTGTACAGAAGGGCCTTAAGGAAATGGAAGAGAGAGAAGATCATGTCCTTTACTGCTTTAAGCTCTCCAATTTCATGTTCAACTGTCAGAAGCCCGTTTAAATCCGGTCAGACAGGCAGAAGCTCTCCGATTTCATCATGTTTATCGCCTGATATTCTTGCTGGATTGAAGTACTCGTTGTTCAATTATAGCATAGAAGAGCTGAGGAGAGCAACAAGGGATTTCAATGAAGAAAACAAGATTGGTTCTCAAGCGTACAGGGGAATAATAAATAATGTTGAAGTGATGATGATCAAGCAGATGAGATTTGAGGACACGAGCCATGTTATTGACGTGCATTCGAAGATCAACCACATCAACATCTTGAACTTAGAGGCGGTTTCTTACGGCGAAAATCACATGTCATGGTCTTATCTAGTTTTCGAGTTTCCGAGCAATGGCTGCTTGAGGGGCTGCTTGTCTAGTCCATCTAGTCCTATCAAGTGGCATTGGCGAACACAAATAGCTTTCGATATTGCAACTGGACTACACTACTTACACTGTTGTACTTTCCCTTCTTGTGCTCACCTAGGCATAAACACTAGAAACATTTTTGTGACAGCAAATTGGAGGGCAAAGCTTTCGAACATTGGAACCATATCGGCTGAGGGATTTTCGGAAGGAAATGACAAAGGATGGGTTGCACCAGAGTACCTTCTACACCGATCAGCTTCTGAGAAGGTGGATATTTTTGCATTTGGAGTTGTTTTGCTTGAGCTCATCTCAGCAAGAGAGGACATTGATGGGAAGTCGTTTAAAGAGTCCATCAAATTTTTGGGAGGGGGTGCTAGCGAAGGCGGTTTCCTCGAACAACTTAGGAGCTTCATGGATCCACAGTTGGAGGATTATCCTCTTGCAGAGGCCTTATGCTTAGCTGTTTTAGCGAAGGCCTGTGTGGAGGACGATCCTCTCCATCGGCCATCCATCGATGACATCATGAAAGTGCTCGCAAGAATGGTATGATCGAGAACTTGATCAATAATGAAGAACCACGTTCGTTACCGATCAGGGTATAAAAATTGTTCATCAAGTAATGTAATGGTCTAAAATATGTAATTAACTAGCTTGATATATGCTTTCTCGTGCTTCTAATTAAACTCACCTATACATACATACATACATACATACATACATACATACATACATACTCGTTGAATAGGTTTTCTACATTGATCATATGTTTTAGTTTATGGAAGTTACTTTTCTGCATCATTAATTTTTTGTTCATGTTTTAGTTTATAATTCGTAAAAGTGTCTGCAAGATGTTGCAGGTATTTAAAATATTTTGAAAATGTATACCATTAAAAAACAGAGGTTGTAGAAGTTAGATTTATAAAATTCAAAAGGTTACATTCATTAGCATATTGAACAAATTAAT